GCTTTACGGTTGTAACTGTAGAGACAACTGCAGAGACATCATGGGATTAGAATATTGTATTAATTCTACCCAGAAATATAAAACCTGGCCCCACTGAAATATCTGTAATAGTAAGGCCTCCACTGATCTCAGTATTTTAAATTATGCCCAATCTATCTCTCTAGTGCTATTCTTTCTTAAGCAAATGGCAATTAGAAGACATGAGTCTGCCTTTATGTATCGACATGGGTTCAAGGCGGTCCTTCAAAATTCCATATACACCAGAGGCCCGGCCGAACTCTCTGTTCACAGCATCTATAGGAGTGAATTTATCTGATGATTTTTATTTTTTTTTTAACAACAAGCGGCTTACACACACCTGGATTTCTGGTTTGCTGTATTACAAATAATCAGTCTAATAACTGGAGTTCAAAATAATGGATATACAGCAGTTGGAAATGGTTTTAGCATTTCTTCATTAGAATATTGTTAACTAATTCCTGTTTGTTTTAGGAAATTGGAGGTATCAAGGAAAAAGAAAGGACATGTCACAAATTAAATGTTTTGTTTGCTTGGTAAATGGCACCACTCATTCTTTGTCTCTGCCTACAGCAACAGAACATTTACATTTCCCAGACTTCATTTGGAGACCTCTCACTTCAAAGCATATTAACATGTTTGCCTGCTAAACTCTTCAAGGTGGTGCTTGCAAAACACATTTTCACAATGTCTCTTTACACTTAGTACCTTTTTAAAAAGGTAAAGGAGTAAGGGTATGAGAAAAAAATAAAGTGTAGTTCTTTAAAGCCATTTCACATGTGGAACCAGCTCTCTACATGCCTACTTTCAGGTATACCTAACAAACAGCAATTTTAAGGGATAAACTTATTTTTTACTTTGCAAAATCCATCCTATACTCTCATATCCTGCGTTTTATTTTGTTACATGGTATTATGTGGTCAGTTTTCTATCTTAATGTACTTAATAATATTAAAATCATTTAATGTCTCGTGACCTAACTAAATCTACACCTTACAGCATTTTTCACGGACTGGCCAGTTATATACATGCTTTCGTGATCACCCTTCCTAGTACCTTATGAACTACATACACTAGTTAAATAATCAACATTTATAGATGGATGGAGAATTCAAGTTTTAAATAAAGGTTCGATAGCTAGAAAAAAACTTGTATTTACATCCTTCCCTGTCGGGCTTAAAGAATTAAATTTTTCATGTCATTTTCAACACTTCCAGAAGCACACCGATAGTCCCTCTCACTTCCGATAGCAGCAGACCTCACAGTCCTTTAGGGTCTGTCCTTGGCATTGGGGGTAGTCCTGACCTTCAGGCCATGTCTGGCCTTCAGAAGCCATTAGCACACATTATAACACGTCTTAGAAGGATACTCTTTCTTCTCTGACGCTACAGATACTCATTCTTCTTGATATACTTAAGAGAGAGTCCTTTGTTTTTACTTTGCATCTTTTAATATAATAGGAGTATTTCCTTTTTTTAATGCTATTTCAAAATTATTACTTAAGAGCTCTCCCTAACCTGTGCCACTACCATTTGGAAAACCAACCGCTGCTCAGCAGCCCAAGCACCCCCGCATGGTGTGGTTCTGCGACTACCCTGGTTTACAGAACATCTTTCCTCACCTGTCTAAGCACTTCTTTCAACAACCTTTCCGTTATACCGCTTTTCATACTTGAAAATAGGATTCCCTAAAGTAGGTATAATCTACAAAACTGGGTGATTTAAAAAATATAGTTTGTGCAACTTTAATAGTCATTTTCTTCAAATTTACTGAATTGATTCTGCATATTAGCACGGATACATCTAGCCTCAGGAACATGATATTCCAATGCACCGTTCAGGCTCTGATTGGCTTTGGAACATTATGCTTCACTGGGCTCACCAACTTATTCTTTGGAACAAATGGAACTTGTTCTTTTCCTTCTCATCCTCTCTGAAATATGTTTTCCAAGGGGAACAAATATCTAACAAAAGGAAAACCCTAAAACATCTGAAATCAAGTATGTGCTACACAAAGCACTCAAAAGGAACAAGGGCGTGGAGCCCTCATGAAACATTTTGGGCCATTTTAGGTTCTACTCACATCTATCTCCAGTTATTAGTGGAAGATTACCTGATGTCCAAGGGTCTCATGTTCTTAGGATGAAGATTACACTCATTGGATACATTTCTATTACCTTAAGAGTAAAAAAAAAAATATCGTTCTATCCTTCCACAAAATAAATGATTGTGCTTTCCATATCACAAAAAAACAACATATAAATACTGTAAATCAAAAGAATAAAATCAAGCTCTAGTATTCAATAAGCATGCTGTCAATGCTAAGTTGGTACAGATTTATCCAGAAGTTGGAGGCTAATATTTAAATTTTGATAAGTACTGAAGTGAGGTCCCCTTTTCCTGGAGATTCCTCTGAATGGGTGAGAGTGCTCTAAGCTGTCAGGCTGTGGCATCTGAGTTATTCTTGGGAAATTTATGGCTGAACTTTTCTAGAAAGGATCTCAGAAATCCCTTCCTTGCTTTTCCTCATGCTTTTAGCTTACCTCTCTTTTCATAATGTAGAACAAAACTGATCTGAATGCCTCCAAGGTTCTTGGCCAAAGACCAACATCAACTGCTGATGTAATGATCAAGTTAGAATTCAGGCAGGCCAACAGGCCAGTGATGCAACATCCTTCTAGACCGGTTTGTGCTTAGATGATAGCATTGAAACTATCCTATTTGTATATTTCAGTAACTTGTAGGATCTTTCATTTGTGTCTCAAATGAATTCACTAGAGATCTTTTAACTAACAGCTGATTTTATGACGACTACTCACAAAAAGTTCATGCAATCTTATTCTTTAAATTTATTAAGAAATTCAAGTGTCATCCCAAATATATCTAGACTAAAATGTTTAAGTTAGGTACAATATTACATTTATCTCAGTATTTACCCCATAACACAGTGCTTTTAATAGACTCTAAATAAATATTAATTGAAAAAAAATAAGTTGAAGGTATTAATGGATTTACATTTTCAAAATAAGCAGAAACCTATATATTTTTTTCTTTTGCATCCCCCCTCCCCTCCCAAACTCTCTGTTTTAACATTTGGAGATTTTTAGTCTAATTGTTTCTTATAATAAAGTCAAATTTGATCCCACAATGCCAACATTAGAAAAAAAATTAAATCTAAATGACTTGGGATGGATTTTCCTAGAAAAGAGACATATCCAATTCTCCTGATAACTAACCTAAGGTTCCCTTTTCTGGAGACTCATTCCTACCAATTGTTCTCATTACTCATCTTAATGCAGCAGTATGCTCTTGAAACAATATATAATAAAGAAGGTCCTAGAACTAGGATGCTGTGTTTGAGGAAAGGAGTTATTATATAAAGTATCAAAAGATTAGTATGTGGGATATTAAAATAATTACATGAGAATATTCTTCAGGTTTATTTACAAGTTTTGACCCAAGGACCTATCTATAAGCTGTGAATGCTTGTCTTTTTTTGTTATACCAATTTATGTGCAAAGAGTTACCTTCCCCTTATTATAAATAAAGTCTCATACTAGAGATTCCATGGAATTCAAGCCCATCCTTGCTTGCATTTCTTAATTTCCAATATACAAAATGGACAACTTTCCTTGCGTAGCAAATGTGATATCATGTGTACATCACGTACTGTCCCTGTCACCAAAATCCCTGGATACTGTTCCAAAGTCCTCATTTGCTTGGTTTGGTATTTCCACAGTCTTTCTTTCTTTAAGCACTTTTTAAAAAAAAATGTACTTAAAGTAGCTATTTTGCTGGTTGCTTCCATATTGCTTCATTCAAAATCCAAAATGGAGTTCAGAAAGAGAACAAATAAAATTATAGTTTAAGTGCAAACTATATTTCTGAGTACCTGCCAGGTAAACATACCCAATCCAGTGTGTTTCTTCCAGTTCAATGGATTCCCCATGGGATCACCCCTGAAAATATCAGTAGTTTTCATAAACCACACAGAACTGTCTCTTAGTTTCCCTTTTTTTTTTTTTTTTTTTTTTTTTTTTTAACAATTACCAACTGCCTATCAAGTACTGTCATTTATAGAGGAGAAGAACACATTGAAAGATGAAAATGAATGGGGTTGGTGGTACATGTTCAATAGTGTAAAACTCAAAAGTGAGATTTGATGCTATATTTGACTAACATTTTGACCCCTTTTCTAATTTTTAAAAGACAATATCTTTTAAATAGTGGCCATTCCCCTTCCTTTCCTAAATTCTGCCAATTTATATCAATGTATAAAAAATTTGCAATTAGAAATTAAAGCCAAAAATAGGGGAGAAAGTAGTAATATAAAGTTCTAGAGCAAAGCAAAAACAAAAAGGAAAATAATAAATAAGAACATAAGAAAGCCCTCCAAACGTAACTAAATTATAACTCTGATGTAGATTCAGAAATGAAAGTAAGTTAGCCACTCTTGCTTGTCAGGATAGAAACAGTGAGAGAAAGCAATTGGGAGTCTCCATGTGTTATATTACACGTTATATAATAGAAAAGGTTCTGTTTTTTCTTATTCTAATGGAAAGGTTATTTGGGCTCTCAGGGATGCTGAAACTGGTACACAGCAGTTCCTGTAGACAGGAACAGATAGCATGGATCTTTGAAGACTCTGCATTTCAAAAAAGATAGAAAGAAATTTGAAAAAAAGAAAAAAAATTGGAACACTAGTTTGACAGCCGGCAGTATTGCCTTACATGTGCTGGTTCTGTCTCCTGACCAGCCCATGCAGAGAAATGAAGAAACAGTGTGGTCTTTCCTGTCTTTCTCTTTCAGTCCTTCCTTCTCATGTTCAAGTTAGATAAGCACATAACTAGCATTGCATCTCTACAGCTTCCCCTGGGAAGTTGCAAAACTACTGGCCTTGGGAGAAGGGAGGCCGTAAGAGAAAGAGTGGTGACAGGGACATTGGAGTGGGCATGTCTTTCCACCTTGAAACCACTGTTGAGTCTACACCACAGTATTCCGGTGTCTGTAGGGCGGAGGAGGCAGCACAGTGCCTGGCTTCAGTGAGAACTCAGAGAGGTATTCGGGATTCTCTGCCACGATGGGCCGGATCCGTCCATTCTGCTTATAAAAATATTTTGTGCTGTACTCCTGCAGGTAGTCTGGGTGCTGGAAGGTGCTCCGAGGGGGCAGGCTGTGGTTCCAGTAGTCAGGGTTGTCGAATGCTTTCCTGGCCTTCTCCGGCACAGACAGTACGGTGCTCTGCAGGTACTCGGCGTTCCCCAACGTGTTGGCGAAGGTGTTGAGGTACAGCGGCTCGTTCACGTACTCCTCCTCTGCCTTGGGGGGGCCAGTGGAAGCATTGTGATATTCGGGGTTATCCAGAGCTTGAACGTCTCCGTTTTTTCTCCGAGAAACAAAGGGGTTCTCCTCTACAGGGTTCAGATATTCTGACGGAATATGAAAATATCAGTTAACATCTACTGCCTGGAAAAGGTTCATCAGAGCAAGGTTATACAGAACGGTTAGCTTCTTTGTTCAGAACAGGAAAGCCATGAATTCTTATAAAAGTATTTTATTGATTACGATTGTCATTAAAAAAATGGATCAAAAAATGATAAGGACAAGACAAGACACCTGCAGGGCTGGTATCAGTGTTTTCTGTCACCTAGATTGTTCTTTTTCTGTCTAATTGCATTTGTCTCTCTCGCATATGGGGCCAGTTATCCAAACTTATGTTGGAAGATAAGACAACCTAGAAGGGCTAAATAGCCTCTAAATATGGAGAAATCAAAATATTTTAAAGAATATTGAAAAATCAAAGTATCTATAGCCAATTCTACTACAAAATCAATAGATGAAGTGAGAGAATAGCATTTTTAACAAGTGAGGTTTAGTGTGGTGCCTGCCTAGTAACAAGGATTTGATTATAGATGTTCTCCAGAAAGCTTTCTTCATAGGAAGAGAACCAGCTAAGAAAAAAAAACAACAACTCAACTCCTAAAACAAATCTGGTAGACATCGAACATGCTTTTAAAGTGACTTGCTTGCCAATACCTATGCTTCATGATAAAGTATAACATTTTTCCTGTGGCTAAAGATAATCACAAAATAGCAAACTATTAGTTTGAGTCATATAAAATGTCTCTATTTTGTAGGTTGGAAATGATCCATTAGTGGCTATTTTGTGTAATTTAATCCAATAAATTATCTAAAATAGGTACTGGCCCAGAATTTTTTTAAAAATGCTGCTAATCAATGTCGTTCTCCTCAAGTTTAATTTCTCTATATTATGAATATATATATATATAGAGAGAGAGACATGTATTCGAATATACAGACCATGTTTTTGTCTTGACTTTTAGTATATACATAGAAGTGACACGAGATATTCTTACTTTGCTAAAATGTGAACATTTTGAAATAAACTCTCTATCCCCCATACTTAGTTTGACATGTAGAGAAAAAAGTCTCATCCACTCAGGGTTATTTCCCCCTGGATATAGGCGTACTCGATGTACTTAAGTATTTAGCATCATGTGCAAGTTAAAAGATGGTAATGAATATCTCATCATCATATACTACACGAATTACAGTTCAATAACGTGCAAGGTACTCTCATTTCATCCTGCATCAATCCTATGGAAAAAGAGGTACTAGCTGTATTTTTCCAGCTTTATAGGCAGAAAGCAGATTCAATAATGCATGAAGGATACAATTAGCAATGAACTAAACTTCAGGTCTTCCAACTCCTCCCGAGCAATCATCTTGTTCTTCTGCACTGTTTTCATTATTGCCCCTACAGGAGCGGGGTGAACTATACCTTTGATAAAATGTTTTAATTTGAAAAGGGCTCAAAGGTACTGTCATTTTAAGGAAAAATATCTGAATAAACTTTTTTTAAAAAAAGCAAAAATTGCTTTCCCCCCAGATTTCTGAACTGCTTCATTAGGAGTATAGGGATGTCTACACTAGAATGCTCTAGTCTCTCAGAACTACAAGTAAGCATTCCTTCTACAGAAATCTGGTCTCTTAGTACACAGAGGCAGAATCTGAGGATGCTCTATAGTGAGTCTATACCTTTGCCTTTCTCTTTGAATATTTTTGTTACCTTTTCTCAATACAATCTACTTATTATCCTAATATAAAACACATAACCAACCATGCGGTTATACATAGAGGAGTCACTCTGTGGTAGAACTGAGAATCTTTCCAGAGAATATTCTACTTTCAGGGGAGATCTGACAAAGCCTCTGAAAACCTATATTAGTGTCACTACTGGGTTACAAAAATAAACATTATATAAAAGAAATAAATCTATATATCTAGGTATATACACTGAGTGGCCAGATTGTTATGATCAATGAATGCATAATAATCTGGCCACTCAGTGTGTGTGTGTGTGTGTGTGTGTGTATGTGTATGTATTAGAGGTCTGGTGCATTAATTTGTGCATGGTGGGATCCAGCTAGCCTGGCCAGGGGGAGGGGACATGGGCAGTTGGCTGGCCTGCCTGCCGGTAGAACTCTTGGTCAAGGGGACAATTTGCATATTAGAGGATATGCAGCACTTTTATTATAGAGGATATACACTGAGTGGCCAGCTTATTATGTATTCAGAGATCATAATAATCTGGCCACTCAATGTATATGTATATTTTAATAGACTATTTACAACGTGTATTTCACATTTTATAAAAGTGAATATAGCCATACATTGCAGGACATAATGGGCCTCATACAGAGTTGTAAAATACAGTTTACTATTGATACTGAAGATGCTGAGACAGGATCATCAGTTTTGAATAACAATCATCTATTTTCTTTTCTGTGATGTTTTTAATGTAGAAGGAAATAGGCTTTTGCAAAATGGAAATGTTGCTTGATTTGGGAGTTTAACATTTCCAGCACTAACACTGTATACTAGTCTCCCCTCACTCACGAAGTTATGTCCCAAGACCGCCCCCCCCCCCCAGTGGATGCCTGAATGTGCAGATCGTATAGATGAAACCTATAGCTACACAGCTTCTCACTTACAGAAAGCATTTCATTGGCATCCAAATCGCCAGCCTTCCTACTCTTGCACTTTGTAGAAATTATTAAGTAAATAAGGGATGACTTGAGCACCATCACTGATATCGTCGATCCATCAGAAAACCTAGTGGCTACTAAGTGACCAATGAGCCCAGAGAGTGCACAACATGGACACACATCCTGAGTAGGTCAGAGTAGGGCGGCCTGAGACTTCATCACGCTGCTCAGAACAGCTCACACTTTAAAACACAAACTGTTTATTTCCGTCATTCTCCATTTGATCGTTTCAGACTGTGGTTCACCATGGCTAACTATAAACATGGAAAATAAAACAGTAGATAAGAGGAACCACTACAGTGCTTTATGAAACCACAAAGTACGGATATTTTTAAGATGCAACGGTGTATGTGTAAGTCTATGCAGGGCTCGGACTTCAATGTTTGTAACGTGTCAGAAGAAATCATAATTTTCTGTAATAAACTGGGTCATTTAAATGACACCATTTTTAAAGAATCCACCAAATCTTTCACTGGTGCCATTAAAATCTCTGGACACTTTTGCCAACAATCCCAATCTTGACAATCGCCACAGTAAGTCCAATAAAACAATGGTTCTGAAATATTGTGATATGCTACCTCATTCCAATATTTCAAGAACGATACGTTTCGGTGAGTATTCCTCAGACTTGACCATGTTAAAAGAATACCTTGGGATCTTGTTAGATTTCAGGCTCTTACCCAGGCAGGGCCTGAGGCCCTGCTTTCTAAAAAGCCATCCCTGCCTCGATGCTGCTGGTTCAGACACTACAGCCTGGACGGCAGCCACCCAGGTCTGTTTCTGGGTCCCCAAGGGATGCACAGTCCAGTGCTTTGGCCGCACCCCTTGTATACTTGGCTTGTTTTGAGGGATGTGAGTGCAGAACGGCCATCGTTTCTGAGCACCCAGTCTGTACCTTGTTTGGGTTTCTCTCGCATGGGCGTCATGTAACCTTCTTCATCCAGCTCCCCTCGCGGGCTGCGTTCCGGGGCGAACACGGTGGGGTCAGCACTGTACCTCTGGGTGCTGCTCTCCTCTTGGACGTGGGGGGCCACCGGCTTGCGGAGGGTGCCGTTGCAGCAGGCGTCATCGAACATCTCGGCCGTGGCCCCCTGAGCCACGGGAGCTTCTGGGATGGTGCTGGTCGTGGCTCTGTAGGGCACGGGCACCCCCTGTTCTGCAGCAAAACCCCCATCTCGGTACACAAACTGGTTCTGTCAACAGTAAAGACACATTCGGACAACAGTCATGGTTAGGAACAGTTGTAAAAAATGAAAGTGAAAAGCTAAAGGATACAGAAGCCCGTCTTTCAGAAACATGTCAGGTTTTGTTTGTTGGTTGGTTTTCATGTACCTTATTTTTCCCTAGTGGCTAATGGCTTTGCGTGACACACTCATGTCACCTAGAATTCCATTTTTTTCTCAAAATTTAAGTCATGGAAAACAATGTGGAACTAAAGCCGGTCTTTTAATATTACTAAGCACCTACCACCACATGATCTCATAATACATATTTCACACCCCCTCTCCCTCCCCAATTGTCCGTTTTTGATAGAAAATCGGAACCGAATTTTCATGACATATAGCAACACAGTTAGTTAGACAGCTGCCATTAAGGACAGAAGCACATTTTGGGGCCATTTAACGGTGGTGTTTCCTTAGTGCATTCTACTCTGTAGTCACTGTGACTGTGAGTCTCCAGTACCGAGCCGGAGAATCAGCACTGAGACTCTGACTTTGTAGCACACAGCCAAGCTTCATGGTACTCCAGAATGGTAGTCAAGATAAACTCCTCCCTAGAGATATAACTTATGAGCCCAGGTAACAATCAAAAGCTACTGTGGATGCATATTATCTTCATTTTGGATTATCTACTGAAATCATGGATACCTAAAAAGGCTGCTTCCCAATCTACAGCAAATTCTTAACTTACTGTTGGCAAAGGCAACATGAGGAGATTATGAGGAGACAAGAGAGAGGAAACATGGTAAGCAAAGACCAAAAATGCTAAAAGATGAAGGTTGGTTGTGAGATACTTACTCCTGACATGGGGGTGTAGGCGGGAGGAGGGCTGTGTCCAATTTCACTCTAATAGGAAAGAAAAATGGAACGATGGATATAATAAGAGGTGATATGAATGAAAAACAAAAAAAAAAAAGAAAGAAAAAGAAAAGCCACACGAGTTGTATGAACCAGAGAGGAAACCATGCCCAACAGTGAAGTTTGCTAACGGGTAAAATACTATGTGCTTTGACTACAAGCAAGTTTATTGATGTGTTTTGAGGATATTAAATATTTTAACTCAGTCCCTAAATAGGAAAATTATGTAGAAAAAGCAAAATTTTTAAATGGATTAAAAATTAAATGGACAATGATTACTCCTCTGAGTAGCCCTAGGAGAAAGGGAAAAACAGTAAGTGATTAACTGTAATTTCAACAAGGAAGAGTTTTCTTCATTAATGTTAAATAACTGAAATGGCCTCATAGCATAGCATAAACTTTTCTCTTATAAAAAGACATTTCTCTCAAAAAGGTATTTAGAAAATGCTTACCTCTTCTACATCACTTTAAATATAGGTATTTTTTTTTTTTTTGCTAACCTTTAGAAAGACAATGAAATAAAATATATTGTTCATATAATTTGGGAAAGGAATTTTGTATATAGTCCAGTGATGTAAAAAATAGATGGATGGTATGAGAAATGCAATTGCTTGATGGAACTTTATTGTATTTCAACCCTTGGTTTTACCTTATCATGAAACCCTCATCATCTAGCAAGCATTTAATGAAGATTTATTAATTCTCTAGAATAAAAGCACAGGAATGGTGGGAGATGCTGGAGGCGTCACGGTGCACTAAGAAACACATGGTCACTGGCCTTTTGCAATTTACACTGAACTATCAAACATTACCTGAGATTAGAAGAAAAGGCGAGAAGGAAATGAGGCAGCAGCGGATTTATTTCAATTACATGATTACATATTGGAAGATAGGGTATAACAAAATATTAGTAATTACCAGTGTCCCTTTCACCTCACTTTGCAGGAGTCGCTGTACTAGGCGATGTCTGATGGGAATCATGCTGAGGAAACAGCCTTGATTCTTCATCAGGAAATACTTTAATCTCTATATTCATGATCTGGGCCTGACCATGTTCAGTTGTAAAGGCATCATCTTAACAGCTAGAGGCCTGTTGCATGATTTGTGCAATAGGCCTTCCTTCCCCTGGCTGCCTGAACCAGTTTTCCTCAGGCACCCGGGACCCAGGCCTTCACTCTGGCTGCCACCTTCCATCTTTGCTCTACCAACTGTCTTCAGTGTTCGCTCTGGCTAGAGCCTTCAGTGTTCTCCGCTCTGGACAGAGCGCCGCTCCTGTAGCTCTCTCCGCCGCCCTCCCTCCCCCTCATAGCAGGCATCCCACCCTGCCAGGCCACTCCGCACCTGCATATACAAATTAATCTGCCATCTTTGTTGGGTTAATTTGCATGTACACTCCTGATTGGCTGGTGGGGGTCACAGAGGTATGGTCAAATTGCATATTTCTCTTTTATTAGTGTAGATAAGTAGCCCTCACACCTAGTCTGTTCTGACACAGGAAGTGAGGTGATGTCCTGTTAGAAGGCACCCACTGCCCCTGCCCTGACAAGTCTTTTTGTGATCAACGTGCCAAATCTATCAGAATTGACTGCCAGATACCATCACAGGAATAGGAGCCTCTTCATGCTTTTGCTACTTTTTAAATGCTTTTCATTACATTAAAATAGAAAAAAATGCTAAGCAAAGCCCCTGTAGCACTCATTGTTTATTAGAGTTATTGGCTGCTTTTTGTATTTGTGTTTCCATTTCTTCCCTTTTCTCTTTACCATGATGAAAAGCACCTCATTCATTTCCCTCTGGAAGGGCAGTGCAGCTACAAGGGAACATCTGTGAGGCCAATTAGCTGGGCTGGGAATGTGATATAATTGTTCTTTAAATATATTTAAATTACATGTTAATCGCTATGTCATAATTTATGGGCTTTGAAAATAACTTCTTGTACTCGAGAGCCAAGCCAGATTTTACTTGTTTTTTGTTGTTGCTGTTTTTAGTTTTTGTAGCAAGCTCTTCTCATTGCCTGCCACCTCCCGCCCCCCAATTCCCCACACTGGAAGAGCTGAACTTTAATAGTAGAGAGAATGACAGCTGCAAATAAATTGGTTGAGAAGAAATTAAGATCCGCACAGTCAGAACGAGCTGGAGTGACCTTAATGTTCCGTCCAGAACAAAGTGGGCCTTCGTGAAAGGCTTTGTTTCCCGTTGTGCCACTTTCCGCTGTCCGTCAAAGCCAGGCCTTATAAGCTTTCAGGAAGCAGTCTGGTGCATCTGTTCAATCAGCTGGTGGGGGAGCTGCTGTCAGCAGCCTGGAGAGAGTGGAGGTGGTTATGAGCTGGCAGGTGAAGGGGAGCATTCTTTTCCTGGTGTGGCATTGGTAAGGGTGATGGAGAGAGTTAAGTTTAATTTTGTCGCCACATCACTGGGACATTGTATGATGAACTTGGACTCAAATGCCAGAGGGTATAGAGAAGGCAAATGTCAGCACTTATCAAACCCAGTGTGAAAAGCACTTTTACCTACAACATGTCCTAAAATTTACTTTTTAGTTGAATGATCGAGATTTGAACCTGTCTTATTACATGCACTGTGTTTCTCATATTTATTGTTTTAATTAAAATGTTGTTTATTTACTATTGTTCTTGGGAAATTTTGAATTCTTAACCGAATGAACTGTGTCTTACGATTTTTTTTTTAAATATATCATACAAATCTATCTGCTCACGAAACAAACAAAAACACAAGCTTAATGCCTGTCTTCCATCTAAATTAAGCATGTTCTTCATGAGAGCCAGTTTTTTTAAATCTTCAGATAATTATTTCTATCAATATTAACCATAGGATTAACGTTTTAGGGCCAAGAAACACTCCAATTCTTTTAACTAAAATAAAATGTGCTAATGCATCACTACGTACTTATTACATAGACACTTCCCAGATAGTAGCTTTTAAGGGTTCTCTATTTTATCCTCTCCGACATATATTCTTATCACTTTGGTGGACATTTTTTACATTCTCTCAGGCCAGGTAGTTGGTGGATTCAATGTTTTTTCCATTATGTACAATTCCATGGCTCTATCTTTTTCCCTACTGAGTTCAACATATGAGTGTTTGAGACACCTAGATTTAGAATCTTCATTTTTCATAGGTCAATCAGAAGGAAAAACAAAACAAAACAAAATATAGCTATATACAAAACACCAGTAGGGACTGGGGTAAGCTTATTGAATCTAGGCATCTGGCTCACACACACACACACACACACACACACACACACACACTATACAAACACAAAATGTCTTTTAACTATTTGTGCTTATTTACTAATGTATTTATTTATCTATTTGGTTTAATTATGCATAACACTGATTTTTTTTTACAGAAACTAGATTTTTACTCTATAGACAAAAAGAAGTAAGTTAATATTAATAATATATAAAAATATAGTAATGATATAATATTGCAAAAAAATTTTAGCAAAAAGATAATAATGACCTAATGATCCAACTGGAGAAATATTAACTTGGGCTCTTATCTTTTTTCACTTTTCACTAACCCTAAAACATTTGATTGTTTCTCAGAAGTATCTGAAAACTATTTCTAATAAAGGAAATGTCTGAAAGATATCAGTAAATATAAATGGGAATCAATGTATTTTACAAGTTATGTGGACAGGGTGCCTTTTATAAACATTAATAATTGTATAATAGAAGGCCCCTTAGGAATGCACATGGATGACCTTTAATTATCATCAGCTGAACTCAAGGCATAGGCAGAGCCACGCCCTGGGAACATGTTTCCCCAAACGTCAGAGACTGTAATCAGTACCAATTTCTTATCTTTATCCCTGTGCTTGGAATGAGGAACAAATAGGACCTTGACTTACCCAGGTCTTGATATGCTAAATCCCAGGAATGAGGGATGAATAGGACCTGGGCACACCCAAACTCCTTTGACCTTAAACCTCCCTCTGGAAATCAACAAATGTGCTGTATTGTCTGTAGTGGGTGGTTGACTGGCCCCCCACCGGGATCCCAGCTTGAATCTATTTTTCTCTTTTTTTCTTTAATTTCTTAATCCCCAGCTCCTCCACTCAGGTACCTGTCCTTTTCTGTGCAAAACAG